CCCCCAAGAGCAAAATCTAGAAAATCCAATTTTGAAAAAATTAATTTAAAAATTTCTTTAATATACATTTTGTTTGCAATTTTAAAGGCAAATTTATTTGAGAAACATAAAAACACTGCAGACCACATCAAATGCCACTTTACACAATAAATAGGCAATAATAATAGGCACACAAAAACTAAGGTTCACTAATGGCAGTCACAGGGTATAATAGTTTTGAGCACATGAATCATATTCATAAAGAAATCAGTCAAAAAGAGAAATTATAAACACATACCACTAAGATTGGTAATTATGTGCACACAGATTTATAACTGCAATCATGATGCATCACCAGAATACATGCAGCTGCCCAAAGAGATCTTGAGAAATTTATCTTTCACAAATGCATGTGTACAAACAGGACATTTTGTCATCTATTGAGGATATTGCAAAGTTTTTATGTACACGTGTAATGCTTAGACACAAAGCCAATACAGTGGTGGTGTGCTTTTTTGGAGTCAAATTTGTAAAAAATGCACAAGACAAAGCAGAACTCTCTAAGGGTTTTTTTTTGTTTGTTTGTTTTTGGTTTTTTTTGTGTGTGTATGTGTATGTGTGCTGGGGATTGAATCCAGGGCCTTGTGCATGCAAGGCAAATATTCTACCAACTGAGCTACATCCGCAGCCCCTCTCTATACGATGTGTACCTCTAGTATTGTAAATGATGAGAAGAAGAAATACATAGCACAGTGAATTTTAAAGAATACTGCTGACAGCTGGGCATGGTGGTGCACGCCTGTAATCCTAGCAGCTGGTAGTGGGCTGGGAGGGGGGGCGGGCTGAGGCAGGAGGATTTCGAGTTCAAAGCCAGTCTCAGCAACAGCAAGGTGCTAAGCAACTCAGGGAGACTCTTTCTCTACATAAAATACCAAATTGGGAGTGTTGGCCAAGCCGGTCTCCCGTCAGCCTAGGTTCTCTGTGCTCTGTCGGTGGCGATGACTGTGAAAACCGAGGCTGCTAGAGGCACCCTCACTTACTCCAGAATGAGGGGAATGGTAGCGATTCTCAT